GATCACAGTATGTTTAGGGGAGTAACATTTCCGTTACACGCTTGAGGTATTCGGCCAATCACAATGCACTGGATAGCTGGCCAATCAGAGCACACCTCGCTTTTTCAGACTGATGAGCTTTGTAAAAATCGACGCGTTTCAGAAAGGTGGGGCATAGAGGAGAAACAATAATGTACATTATATGGAATATAATGTGTTTTTTTAACCTTAAACCGCATAAACACATTGCATTACACCAAATACACAACATAATGTTCTTTTTAGCAACGTCATATGACCCCTTTAAGTGTAAAAATGACTTTTTAGGGCCATTTTACATCCAGTTTCAGACGGCTGCTTTCTCTCAGTTTCAGTAATTTTTTTGTATTCGAAATGTGTTTAATTTAAAATGTCGCAAATCTCATAGCAAGCAATCAGAAAGTGTCCCATTATCCCTGTATTCACCCTAATCACTTCAGCGCACTCGACTGTATTCACACAATCCTGATATATCCGTTCCGTTCGAAAGCTTGGAGTCAGTTTTTTTTTTTTTTAAAGAAAGTAATTTTTATTTGCATTAAAGTGATCAAATGTGACAGTAAACATGTAACAAAAGATGTCTATGTTAAATAAATGCTGCTCTTTATTCATCAAAGAATCTGAAAAACAAAATCACAATTTTCACAAAAATATTAAGCAGCACAACTGTTTTCAACATTGAAAATAATAATAAATGTTACTTGAGCACCAAATTGTTATATTCAAATGATTTCTGAAGGATCATGTAACACTGGAGTTATGGCTGCTTTACCATCACAGGAACAAAATACATAAAAATATAAAATTGTATGTAATTTTTTTAACATAAAATCAAAACAGTTATTTTAAACTGCAATAATACTTAAAAAAAATGATTGCATTTACTGTATTTACTGTCTTTACTTCCATCTCTTCACTCTTCTTGGTTCAAATTTAGAAGCATATTATATATTATATATTATATAACATCATCTGTTTATCCATCAGACCACACACACAGATCAGAATGGTTTTCCTCTACATCTCATCAGCCTGTCCAAATGCTTTAATGAGCTAGACCTCACAGTGCTGTTCAGCACTTTTCATTATGCATGTGTATTCCTGTCCAGCTGGCTATTAATCATTTTAGAGATAAAAAAAAGAAGACAAAGAAGAGTCCACACAGCTAACCAAACAGAGATCTCACTAATGAAAGTGTTATAGCATGCAGATTTGGTGGGGTTTTACATCACTCAAAGACTCAGGTCCTGACCGACTACTGTCTGCAGGGCTAATGATTCAAGCTAATCTCAAGAAGTAAGGAAAAAGATAGAAACGTTATCAGCCAATAACACGCTGGTGAACTATTGGATTCTTATATGGGTCTTACAAAAAAAATGTATCAAGAATTATACAGAAATCATCATTGAACACTAATCTAAAGACTGTTAATTAGGTGTACATGTTCAGATAGTTTGCTCTATATCAGTCGTTTCCAAACTTTTCAGCAGTGCAGCCACTTCTTATCTATGGCATTTGTGAAGCAACTCATCACCCTATCTCACCTAAAAATGGACATAATCACATTTTTAACATGAACTAAATGTGCATGGAAATTTCAATAATTATCCATAAATATTAAGACACATTTTACTTAAAAATGATGACTATTTTAGCGTGTTTCAAAAATGCGGTTGCTCATTTTACATGTTGGTTAGAATGCCAATTTTTGTCAAAGTGGTCACTGCTTTGCCAGAATAAGTTACCTGTAATATGGACCTGGCTGTGAAGATTAAAATGAGGTTTGCATTCAAGTTGGGTACCAACAATCATAATTATGATGCAGTTAATGCATATTTGTTCAAATTCTTTTTGTGATATCCACACAAATCAAAATAAACAGCATGAAACTACATTCACCTAAACTTGGCACAGCGAGATGAATTCAGTTTGTCAGAGCTGAAATGGAACACACAAGACGATATCACCTCTAATATTGATTTTCATGACTGTGAGTGATAGCTATCCAAAATTTGATTTAGGAAATCAAAGGCACAGAGGACATCCACAATACTGAGAGCTATTCCTAGACCTGTATTGATCACATCAGTGGAGGCTCTACCTTCATTGATTACAGACAAAAAAGAAAAACAATCTTTGATCCAGGTATCTGCAACAACATTTGACTTTAGAGCCACACTGAACATAAAATTTGAACACAGAGACAGATTAGGATTTTCTCGGAAAAAGATTCAAAGTAAAGCTGCTGTTGTATTTTGTTCTGGAGCTAGTTTTAGAAATTGGTCTCTTTCATGAAGTGTGGTTGGTTAAGAGAGCTAATACTGGATTAGATTTCACATTGTCCATTTTGATAAATGAACCACAATCTTTCCTCCCATTATTTCTAAACATTACTCATTCATATTGGCCGCAGCACTAAGGAAAACACTGTCTAGATGATTAAAGACAATAAATACAACAGTCCTAAATTTGAACAAAGTCAGACAGAGCTCAAAAAGAGACACATTTCTCCAGCTGCAAGAATAAAATGTTTTTAAAAATTTGAGAAATTTTTTAAATGTTTTAAAAATTCATACAATTTTATCGGTTGTTATATTCTCAGTATACACATTTTATTTGGTGCTCAAGAAATATTTCTTATTATTGTCAAATTATTATTCTCAATAAATTATTTTCAAGTTCAAAAGAACAGCATTTGTTTGAAATATTTTGTAACAATGTGAATCTTTACTGTCACTTTTGATCAATAAAGCGCTATATAAATGCATAATTCATTCATTCATTAATGCATCCCTGCTGATTAAGAGTATTAGTTAGTATAGTATTAGAAATCTTTCTGATCCCAAACTTTTAAACGGTAGAAATAAGATTACGTGAAAACTGAAAGTGAACAAAATAGCTATTTTATAACAATTGAAACCTGACCCAACTCAAATTCTGTGATAACTGAAAGTTTAGTTCTACTTACATTGATCATAGCATTGGAGGTGATGCGAAAGAGGGTGGCTCTCTCGTTGACAGCCTTGATTTTCTCTCCTCCCTCCAGAGGCACACGTAAGGTCTCAAGCTCACTCAGAGACCGCTGCAGCGCTGCTCCGTGCTTAGCTATCAGGTCATTGCACGTGCTCAAGTCATCCAACTTACTGGCCAGAGTCTTGAGAGTGCCCTGGATCTCACTGTGGTCTGACTGAGAGGTGGGCTCCTCGTCCGCAGAATCATCTACACAGAGAGAAACAGAGAGAGAGAGACAGATTAGAGATTATGGGAGTAAATTTCATTACTGGGTGAACTGTTTCTTTAAAACAGAAAAAAAAACATCCCAAGAACACAATGTCACACAATGTGTTTTCCAGCTGTTCACATTAACAAGTCAGAGACCACAGTTTCTCCTAATTTCCCTCATTAATTAATGCTGATTTTACAGGTGGCTGAGGCCCCAATGGCAGGCACCCAGTCGATATTACCATAGTCACTTATGCAAACAGAGCACAAACATCCAAATCAACACACACATACACTCTAGATGGTGGACTGCTTTAAGAGATAGTGACTACACACAAAATATTACCTGTTAAGAAGCCCGAAAGTCTCAGATATAAATGTGTTTCCTAATGAAGTTAAACTGGAGAACACATGGTCTCAACTGGTAAAACTCATCTGTTGATAATATGTAGGGTTAGGACTGAAGAAGCAAAAACAACTATTGTTTAAAGTCATTCAATAATGTTTTACACCAAAAGAAATGAGTATTTAAAAAAACAAACAAAAAAAAAACAGTGCTGTAAAAAGTACAGATAATAAAAAATTTAGCCGGTTTTCAACACACAGCGTGTGGGAATATCGATACTGAAACTTTATATTCACTGAATTGATTGGTGAAGGTGATCTAAATCCAAAATGTGGCTGAAATATTTTATTCAATAAAAATATCTCCAGAAATTTAATTGTCTTACGTGAAAAAAATAAGTAAACTATAAGTAGTTTGTTTTTAAAACCCCAAAACATGCTAGCATTTGTAAACTTCTGGTTCCATTGTCCCGAATCAATGGGTTTTTGTTGAAATAAGTTTTTTTTCTATGACATAAAATACATCAGTTATATCCCACTGATGTTTTTTTTTTCACTTTTATGTGTCTTGAAAAAGAGAATTGTTGACAAGTGGCTAAATGGTACTACAGAGTTTGTTAGGGGCATTAAACAGCATCACGCTAAACAGATAAACTCATCTACTCACTAGTCCACTTTTACAGCCTCATTGTGTTTATACACTTAGGTCATGCAGTGATATACTGTAGTTTGTTTATAGCCTAGCTTTAGCTTGTTACATCTACCGATTGTATTCAGGCTTCAATAAAGTTTGTGTCCATTTGTGAAGTTTATCATAATAAGCTAAATGTAAGAATCATGAACATTTGTTGGTCACAAAGCTTATTTTCTGCAATAATCAATAAAGCCAATCGAAAAATCCTATTGGCTTTTTGCTAAGGGAACCAATGTAATGCTAACTTTGTTGGCCTACAAAATTACGTCATCCACTATACTGGAGGATGCACATAATCTTGCATGCAAATTCCCCAAAAATGCAAATTTCAATTGGAATAAGATCTGGAAATAGACTTGGCTATTACAAAACCCCTCCATCTCCTTCATCCAAGCCATTCCTTTGTGGATAAAAAACTTTAGCTTTTATCTGATGCTGCATTCATTTTAATAGCTGTCAGTTTAAAAAAGAGCCAGAAAAGCTAATATAAAGTACCTTATCGTGCCTTTACAAGTCACCAGAATCACTTGTGATGTCTAGGCCATAAACATTTGCTAGTGGAAAGGATGTGGAAAAAAATTTATTATAAATAATATGGACGCCCAAATGTGTTCACTTTGCATGGTTCCACAGCTGCCATAATTAATGTCCATTGCCATGTGTGGACATGTTTGCACACACAATGGCTCCCTTTCAATGACAGAAGTGGCATAAATCTAGTGTAAATGGAGAAATCACATCAGAACAGAGCTGAGATCCTGATGTTGAGTTGAGGCCATGACAGGATCATGCAACATGGATGCAATAAGACCACACCACACAAATACAATGAATATGGAAAACACATGTTCACAAGGAAAACACTGTCATTCATCTCTGACAAAAGAAAAAATGTTTGGAAAAAAAAACGTTTGAATGTGGCAACCTCATTCACAGTAGCGGAGCGGGGCGGGGCAAGGGTGAGATTGATTTGACTGTGTTTGTTCCTCCTCAGCAGAGAGCAGAGCAGCCTTCAGCAAACTGTTCAGAGACAGATGTTTTCTCAAATTTTTTTTTTCTTGCTGAGCAAAAATTTTCTCTATTGGGTGGACATTTCCACCACCTGAGCAAAAACGTTCTTTATATCAGACCTGTACAGCACACATACAAAAAATTGTGTAACTTTTAACTTAAATGTGCTAATTATATTTGATTTGACCCTTGATGTAACTAAATTATGCACATTTTAGTTTACCTGAGAAAACATTTTTTACAGTGTTGTGTTACTTACCAAGAAATTCTATTAAAAAATCATTAAAAAAAAATATCACGCAGAACAGTTCAATTCTTTATAACAATATAATATAATATAATATAATAAAAAACCAAATATTTTCAATAAATATTTTCAAAAAAACACGAACATGTGAATTATTTTACAATTATCTAAAACATCCCCATGTAGCAGAATTTGCACACTACTACACCTGTGTGTAACGCTAGTTACGTATGTTACTGTGGTTCTGTGAATTCCGGATGACTGCCAGAGGCGGTGCTAAGCACTAGTAGATAATTGCAGCATCAGCTAGATAGGTCGAGAAAAATGTCAACAAGGTCACGTCATGACGCAGACCGAGCCACAAGGATATAAACCGCAGTAGCTCAGTGCCCAGCCTCGGAACACTTCTTGTGCATTTCGAGTGACAAAGAACTCTGGCGGTCATCCAGAATTCACCGAACCACAGTTACATACGTAACTAGTGTTCTGTTTCATTCCTCCTGACCGCCAGAGTTGGTGCTAAGCACTAGTGGATGACATACCAACACAGTCATGAGGAATGACTGTTGCAGAAGGACACCGTAAGGAATTTTTGCAAATACACAAGGGGCCAGAGAGAGACCGAATGGCAGAACTCTGAACTGGTATGCTTGGTCCTGAAAGCTGAATTTTAGGAACTTCCTGTAAAGTGTGGAACAATGGGGGCATTGTTCCACAAACCAGTCTCCTTCCATCACAGACGGAAGAATGTCAACTGTTTTTGTAACATACGAAAAGGAAGAGGCTTAAGGAACACATTTAAGTAGCGCAGATACAGAACTGGTAGAAAACCTCTGTACTGAGGGGATGAACTTTTTCTATGGCTCCTTCCTGCAAAAGTGAACAAATTTCTAGCGACAGGGCCATAGAACTGGTTGGATCCTTGACAACTGTAGGAAGGATTCCTGTAAACATGTTAGGCCGGTGTCGGAACTGCAAAGTGTATCCCCTGCTCACAGCTGCCAGAAACCAGGGGTCGGACAATGACATTCTCAAGTAATCTAGATGTTGCAATGAGAAACGACTGACTGCCGGCCTGAAAACATCATGGTTTTTGGTTTCTGCCTTTAGTACCTGTGGGGTGGGGGGGGTAAAGGGCAATGTCCCTGGGCTTCTTGAGCCAGTCTTTGTTGTTGTGGTATCTGAGGTTGAGAAGTATTGTCGCGGCGCAGTCGTTGCTCTGCAATTGAATAGCGTGGATGAGTGGGAGCTGGTGGCATCCTAAGAGAGGGTGCCTGTGGGGCCTGAGTTAGCTGTTGTGTGACTTCGGACAACTTCATTCTCCTCTCTAATACCTCAGAGACATTGGGGCCAAAAAGATGTCCCGGCACAATTGGCAATTCCCTCAGCGTCTTACAATCTTCAGGCAATCTTGCCTGAGCAAGCCATACCTGGTGCCGAGCTGTTAGAAGGGTTGCTGAGTGTTCCAAGCTCACGAGTCAAATGTCCCATTGCCAATATAGTCTGAAGGAACTGAAGTACTGAAAGGTCTGCATTCGGTGACCCTAAGGTGGTGTGAATTAGATGCACTCGTTGAAATGGCATCCAGATCTGGATGTTGAAGAAAACTCTCATCTTCTGGTGTGTTGTCTGCAGGCGTGGCTGGTACTGGAGGTTGTAGAGATTGAAGAAGACGCAGGGCTCGCAAAATTCCAAAATCCCTGGTAGCCCTTCGGGCAGGTACTCTTCAGATTTTGGTAGCCCGAAAATTCATTTAACTAGCCCAAATAAAAAAAAAAGACCTTTTTTTTAAATATAGAAAATCAGATAGGAGTTTAAATGTCAATCAGAAATATTTTCAATACACAAATATCAACAAATATGAAGGAAGGAATTTTATTTCACTATTTACACAGAATAAAAAAAAATAAAAAATAAAAATTTAAGGCAATTTATGACCCATTTTAAGAGCTGCACAAGTAAAATGAACACATTATAAGTGGGGTTGGACAATGTCTATGGTAACATACAGTATTGAGCCATAAAATTACATGATTTACAGTTCAGATACAGGTTTTCAGAAAAACAAAAATCTTATACAAAAGCATTTCAGCCTTTAGACCATTTCCCCGACTGGAAAACACAATAGCCCCGGGATGTCGGGCTAGCGATTTTGCGAGCCCTGAGACGTTTCAGCTCTGCCATTTTCAAAGTCAGAGTAGCGAAAGTCTTCGACAGCAATTGCTCTGATTCCAAAGTCTTTTTCTTTGTTGGCGGAGCGCCAGCAGCCGCTGGTGCGCAGCGATTTTGAATACGCTGCAGGGCTGAGTCATTTTGTGCCAGGCTAGCCATTGAACTAGGATCCAGTTCAGCGAGGCGAAGCTGTCTCTCAGACATCGGTAGCATACTACAATGCAAACACGGATCAGTCAGAGCCTCTTTTAGATGCTGAACCCCTAAGCATGAAGGGCAGTGATCGTGTCCATCATCGGGAAGAAGCGTGTTAGGACAATTTGCAACTCGGTGGAAAGTTGGAGATACAGTGGGGAAAATATTTATTTGATCCCCTGCTGATTTTGTAAGTTTGCCCACATACAAAGAAATGAAGGGTCTGTAATTTTTATGGTAGGTTTATTTTAACGGATAAACACAGAATATCAATCAAAAAATCCAGAAGAAACACATTATATACAGGTGCATCTCAATAAATTAGAATGTCGTGGAAAAGTTCATTTATTTCAGTAATTCAACTCAAATTGTGAAACTCGTGTATTAAATAAATTCAATGCACACAGACTGAAGTAGTTTAAGTCTTTGGTTCTTTTAATTGTGATGATTTTGGCTCACATTTAACAAAAACCCACCAATTCACTTCTCAACAAATTAGAATACTTCATAAAACCAATAAAAAAAACATTTTTAGTGAATTGTTGGCCTTCTGGAAATGGCCTTCATTTACTATACATGTACTCAATACTTGGTAGGGGCTCCTTTTGATCCCCTGCTGATTTTGCAAGTTTGCCCATTTACAAAGAAATGAAGGGTCTGTAATTTTTATGGTAGGTTTATTTTAACGTATAGAGACAGAATATCAACCAAAAAATCCAGAAAAAACATATTATATAAAGGTTAGAAATTAATTTGCATTTAAGTGAGTGAAATAAGTATTTGATCCCCTACCAACCATCAAGAATTCTGGCTCCCACAGATGGCTGCCCATGTGGAACACAGATTAGTCCTGCCACTTTAAGAAGTTACTCCTAATGTCAGCTCATTAGGTGGACAAGGGCAACGCAATAAATTAGGATGGCGTGGAAAAGTTCATTTATTTCAGTAATTCAACTCAAATTGTGAAACTCGTGTATTAAATAAATTCAATGCACACAGACTGAAGTAGTTTAAGTCTTTGGTTCTTTTAATTGTGATGGTTTTGGCTCACATTTAACAAAAACAGACCAATAC